CAGCAACGATCAAAGCACATGTTCTTCGCTACATTAGTGATGGGCATGATGTAGTCTCTGCGGATGATCTGAAACGAGCTAATCTATCTCATGGTGGTGTTAGAGGCGTCCGAGTTACCTTGATTGATTCCACAAAGTAGCATCCAATCTCGTTGCAGCAGGAAGGAAGTGAGCAACTCAAATAATTTCCATTATGGAGAGGAATGTCTGACTGTATGGAAGGCATTTGATGTGGGAGAAGGAAAGACCATGCCATGGTCTCAGTTACAAGGTAAAAAACAATTATTTCTTGCTTACTTTTACCAAATTTTTATTTTCTCGCGCGCTTTTTTTTTCGCGTCACGCTCGACGGACTAAGTAAGGGCTGCTCGTAGTATATCAGGGTTAACGCTAATGCAATTAATTGAAGAATCTTAGGTTCTGTTTAGACCCTTATTACTGAAGGCGCTTTTATTTTAAATGCCATTGCCACAAAATGCAACAAAATCTCGTGTCTTGTACGATAAGTTTAGTTATTTTTTATGCTCTCTATTCCTTAGTCCAAATGGGTTCAGTGAAGGATCCAGTATTCCCCGAGAGCTCCTTTTCTCCTGGAGACTTCCAAAACGTCTCTTTGTTTGAAAACACGCGGTCTCCTGTTGAAGACAATCCAGAAAACACCTTTCATGGAGAGCAAAACATGACATCCGCTGACAAGGAGCACGCTGGTCTTTTTTCCTGTCCAGTTGAAGGATGCGTGAGTACTTTTCAGCGCCATTGTAACCTGGAGCGGCATATGCATTATGGCAAGTGCAAATTTGTAGAGGAAAGACACTCGCTTCTCGACAAGGCAAAGATTCTTTACGCTGAAAAAAAAACAGGAGGGATCAAGCGCACAGCCATTTATTGCCGGTTCTGAGCTTTCAGAACAAAGTGTTCAGGCTTTACCGCAGGGCTGGGCATTGCGATCTACGAAGAAGGCTGCCCGTTTCAGTGCTAAGCAGAAGTCCTACCTAGACGAGAAATTTAAAATAGGAGAACAGACAGGATTCAAAGCAGACCCCACACAGGTGGCTCAAGATATAAGACATGCAAAACATGAAGACGAGAGCCGCAGATTCACTGTAGATGAATTCATAGCGCCACAGCAAATAAAATCGTATTTTTCAAGAATGGCGGCGAAATTCAGGCAAGGAAGTCACGACGTTGCAGACGAGTGGGACGGTCAAGCTGTTGCAAAGCAAGACGCGTATTCCTCCGCCCTTGCGCACATTCTTGAAGAGTGTCGGCTAACCCACCCGATCACTTACGATACATACAATCTCTGTGAACTGTATGCAAGAAATAAGTTAACCAAGCTTAGCGTCCCTATTTTGCGCATAATATGCAGCCACATTGAACTGGAAATTGACAATCTTCCACTAAGGCTAAAAAAGCCGTATCGTGGTGTTCAATTAATTGAAGAGCTCGTGAGATCGTGCTTGGGTGCATAACTGTCTCAAATTTTTGTGTACATCGATGTGAAACTATTCATCCCTATTGGGTCTTTACGTCGGTCAGAGTCATCAGATGTTACCTGCATCGATTAGGATCGACAGACCCATTACTCATGCGTCCGTCGTTTAATTTTAGTTTTTCACAGTAGTTTGGCCACAAAACAACCTCGAGTTTCATGCTAATAGCCTATAGCCACCAAATTTGTAAGGATGCTCACGATTAACAGGCCCAAGGCGGTGGAGGTGTAGACGTATCTTGTGAAATAATTATTAAACAAAAATAGGGAAAACTATTCCAGTATTGAGGTTCGAAACAAAATTGTACTAAAAATAATGGAAGTGTAATGACTACTTTTTTTAATTACAGTCGAACCCCTATTAAGCGGCCACCTATTAAACGGCCACCCCTTTTAGGTGGCCGGTAATCGAAGTCCCAAAATCCATTTCCCCAAGGGTGGCCGTTTAATAGGGACAATAGGGGTTGAACTYTAGAACACGTGCAAGGTGCGTGGGCCTTCAGTAGTCTGTCACGCAATTCTCGCCGTTTGCAGCGGTTGGCAGTTAACGGCAACAACTTGTGAAGCCAATACACAT